GCTTCCTCTCCCTGGTCTGCTGGAGACCAGGGAGACGGGCCCCGTTCGTAACTGCGGATCCGACGTAAGTTGGATCCGCGTAACTCGGGGACTGCCTGTATATTGTATTAAAATGAAGTTTTTTGAGCCCGGTATACTTTACACTGCTTCCCTTTTGCATTTGCGGATATAAATCTTGAATTTGTACAGCAGCTTTCACCCTCACCAGAGTTCCCTCTAACTTTTTATGTCTGTGTGGAATGTTTTTTGGGATGTGTCATTCCAGACTTTTGGATCCGCGTAACTCGGGGACTGCCTGTATATTGTATTAAAATGAAGTTTTTTGAGCCCGGTATACTTTACACTGCTTCCCTTTTGCATTTGCGGATATAAATCTTGAATTTGTACAGCAGCTTTCACCCTCACCAGAGTTCCCTCTAACTTTTTATGTCTGTGTGGAATGTTTTTTGGGATGTGTCATTCCAGACTTGGAAGTGAGTGGCGGGGTGGAGACAAGAGGTTAGAATGGGGGGAAGGAACCCAGGGCTGGGACAGAAAGATCAGGTGCAGAAGTGTGAGGGCTTAGGCTGAAGGTACAGGCTCTGAGGTGAGATCAGGAATCAGGGCTTGGAGTGCTGGAGGGGGCTCAGGATTGGGACAGATGGTCAGGGTGTAGGCTGAGAGTTCTGGCTGGAAATAGAGGCTCTGGGGCAGTGGTTCCCAAACTTTTCGGCATCACGCCCCCTTTTTGATTTTTGAGAAACCTCACATACTCCCCTCCCTCCCCCCCAAAAAAATAGCAGCATAAATTGTTGAGCAAAAAAACCCCCCAACAACAAAAAAGGGAGATTACCTCAGTATAGAAGGTCCATCTAAGATCCTATGAATCATTCAAGTCCCAAAGCATCTGTTCTAATGCTCAGCCCACACTCCATGCCAGCTAGCATCGTAGGAGATGCGAGATGACAAAATTAGGGTATGACTACACTACCCTCCTAGTTCGAACTAGGAGGGTAATGTAGGCATACTGCACTTGCAAATGAAGCCCAGGATTTGAATTTCCCGGGCTTCATTTGCATAAGCGGGGAGCCACCATTTTTAAAACCCCGCTGGTTCGAACCCCGTGCAGCGCAGCTACACCACAAAGAATAACTATCAGTCGTTTTCTCTCAAACATGGTGGATGTATCCAGGGGCGGAGGGGGTGTCTTACAGGGGTCTTGGGTCTGGTACTATTCAATATTTTCTTTACCTACTTGAATAACAGAATGAAGAGTCTCAGAGTGGTAGCAGTGTTAGTCTATATCTGCAAAAGCAATGAGGAGTCCTGTGGCATCATTTCACGAGGAGTAACGGTAGTTCGAACTGGGAAGCCTAGTTCGAACTACCTAGTTTGTGCCCCGTGTAGCCGCGCTGCACGGGGTTCGAACCAGCGGGGTTTTAAAAATAGCGGCTCCCCACTTATGCAAATGAAGCCCGGGAAATTCAAATCCTGGGCTTCATTTGCAAGTGCGGTATGCCTACATTACCCCGCTAGTTCAAACTAGCGGGGTAGTGTAGACATACCCTTAGAGGCTGGGCAACATGAAAATTTGACCAGGAGATCCGACTTAACCTGCTCTTATGAAAAACAATTATGGGATCCTTAACATGGTCAGGAACATTTGCTTCACATTTCCTCAACTTCACAGAAAAATCTGGACGGGTTAGTTGCAGTTTTGCTCCTGATTAATTTTATTTCCCCATTCTCATGCACTAGTCCAAGAAAAATTGAAGGTTAAAAACCACAGCAACAAGAAACCTGTGTTCACTGGAGTTATAAAAAAAACAACAATACAGCAAGCTACCTTTATCTAGTCACGTACAAAGGGATAAACTCTGATTTAAAGCAAGTCTCAGGGATCATCTAAAATCTTCATAAAATTTATGGTTGTGCTAACCATGAACTTTAGCCACCTATGCTCTGGTGAGCTGCAGTTAAGTTCTTGAGTAGTTCCACATTAACATCTCAAGAACAGAGGTCATAAAGGACCTTCATACCTACGGAGCTCACTTCCAAATCTTCGGTGCTTAGGACCCCCGTAGAACAGTAGCCTGAAGCTCTCCTATGAGTTTAGGAGTTCCACAAAAGTAGAACCACAATCAGAATTCTGAGGGATGTAACTCTGGCTTATCTAAAGTTTGGTTATCAGGAGTCTGAGCTAGGCTGAATGTGAAAAATGTTTATTGCATATATACAAAGCTACATGTTGAGCTTAAACTAAATTGACTGTGTCTCTTTAAAAAACAACTCTAGGAATCATGGTATTGGATTTGCAGCAGTGAACTGACCCACTGGACCATCAGATCTGATATTCTGCATCAGGGAACTACAAATGGTTTCACTTTTCCATGAAATATCAGCTCTCTTAACTCATGCAGCATGGTCGGCCATGTTATAGATATCGGAAAATATTCCTTTTTCACTTTATTGCTTTTACCTTTTAAAAAGGTATTAGATGCACCAAACAAATAAATCAAAATATTGCCTTTTGGAAAGGAACATGGAAGAAACATGGGAGGAAAGACAACTTACCTTTCAGGAGGAAGGCTATCGGTGTTGCTGCTATGCCGTCTCTGCATTTTCCTTAACACTTTGAAACACAGCACACTTAACATTAACGTGTCAGATCAGCTATCCCCAGTGATCCTTAGTAACAAAGGCCCAGAGGGTTGGAGAGCTGTGACACCCATTCACCCAGGGACATGGTTAGAAAAAAAAATCAATTGCCTGTTTCTCTGAATAGTGATTCAGGAGTGTATCAGTTTTTTAGTACGCTAGCAAAGAAACATCTCTGGAAATGTTCGCCACTGACATTTGGTAGCACACAAAAACAGCACTCTGGTCAGGGCAAGAAGGAGCCAGACCACTTTCTATAGTACTGGGAACACAGCAGAAAAACACATGGACTTTAGAATCCTACAATGAGGTGACAGAAGAAGGGACTCCAAGACATCAGATGATAACCCGAGATGTGACATACGAATTGGCTGTTTGTTCTCCAGGAGCTCTTTTGCACTGCCTCTTCTGAAGGAATTTGCAAGGCACAAAAGGATAGGGAAAAAAAGTAATATTTTATGAAAAATGCAGTCAAATCAGAACACAAGTTTTGTTTTTTGCTACATAGAGCATCCCTAGTAAATCACATAATTCCCACTAGTAAACTCGCTAAGTGACCCTTAAATATGTGCATGCATGAGAGATCAGATCTTCTGGGCAATGTCAAGTTATTTAATAAACTAGTAAACACAGGGATTATAATAATCTTAGACCCTTGGCTACAACAGCCTTTCACAGAATTGGAATAAGGTTTTATTTATTTTTTATTCTCTTTCAAGCAGCAATTTAGGATCTTTGAACCTATTTTTTTTTAAAGTAATCATTCTGAAAGCAGAAACAAACATCATCACTTCAGCATCAATGGGTCACACAGACATGAATGAGAAAGGCTAGCAAAGTCCATTTTACTACAGGGAAACCAAGACTGGAGATGTAAAAGATTAATGGGTAAAGCCTACCAGTGCTGGTTAATCAGAGGGGCTGGAGCAGCTGTCCGCCTGCACTGGGTGCCCCTATCTCCCACCCCCCAACATGTTACATGTTGCTGACCTGCTCCCAGGGAGCTGGCTACAGAGCCCAGCAGTCCGTACTAGGGATGTGAAGGACTAGATTGACTTGAAGGACTAGAGTCAGTGGTCTCCAACCTTTTTACACCCAAGATCACTTTTTAAGTCTCAGAACAGACGAAGATCTACTGCCTCGCCCCTTCCTTGAAGCTCCGCCTACATTACATGAGGAAATGTAATGTAAATGTACTGCGCAGGTGCGCAGTTCAGAGAGGGCTCAAGAGCTACTCTTGGAGCCCATGAGATCTTCCGGTAGATCGCGATCTACTGGTAGATCGCGATCTACTGGTTGGTGACCACGGGACTAGACTGACTATCTGATAAGCAAATGCTTATCAGATAGTCAACAGGATAGTAGATTAGTTGCTTCCCCCTTCCCCCCTTGCTGCCTCTGTCAGAAAGAGGCAG